TATTTCAAATAAAGTCCTAAACATGTCACAGATGGTTGGACGGTTGTCTGGTTCAAATGAAAGAGCTAATTGGAAAAGAATGTAAAATTTTAATATGATGTACGTTTTTACTAAATCAAATAAATTTATTATTTACCTTGCATCATAATATCTGAATATTTTTGTGGCATGCAATTATTATTAAAATTATGTAATATTTGTTTATTATAAAGGATTTCTTCTTTATTGCATGAATATCATCATTATAACCATCATATGGTTTTTTTTTCATTTAAAATTTCCCGAAGAACAATTCCAAAACTAATTATTTTGTAAGTGAACAAGTAGATCAACCTAAAAAATTAACAAATTTAAAACAAAATAAAAGATATAAGATTATATTTATTAAGACTATATATTAAATAGTAAGTTTATCTACATTATTTAAATTATAATTTAACTATACATGATAAGTAACAATAAAATTTATAATTAGCAAATTAGGCAAAATCTGATTAAGAATTTATATGTATCATCTTTATTTAAAAGTGTTGCAATTAATAAAAATACAAATTATGAAAAAAATTTATCATGCAGTATCATGCGCATTAATGTGCATTTTTTCACCTCTAAGCGAAATATGAAATGTGAAGCGAAGTGAAATATGAAGCGAGATATGAAATGAATTAATAAAGAAACGCAAGTTCATTCAAATGATGATCTATTTTATTTATTTATTTTTTTTTTGCAATACAGTAAAATATAATGTAATAAATCAACCAGGTCCATATACTTCATCCGAATAATTTATCCAGTTGATTATAGTTTCTCTAATTGATTCCCACCCGGAGTTTTGGGAGTTGGATGGGTTGGATGCTAATTCATCCTTGACCACTCTTGATGGACTTCTTTACAACCGGGGCATGGTTGTAAAGAAGCCTTCATCGTTGAGAGCTCAAGGTGAATTATCCTCTCAACCCAATGAGTATACTTACAACAATATTCTCCAGGTGGAAATACTTCTAAGAGTATTTTTAAAACATGAAGTTGATAGATACCAAAGAAATAAAAAATCTCGATATAATCCTACAATAGAAGTAGAGTCAGAGCCTCATTGTA